ATATATATATATATATATATATATATATATATATATATATATATATATATGTCCTATCATAAAAATGTTCTCTCTCTTTCACTCCCCCTGAACAAACTGCTAACCGAGTAGCTAATTAAACAATAAGATATAACTATAATTTTTAAAGAAGATTTGGAAAGGATTGTGGGTATTTTAAAAAAAATGTATATTAATGTACGTTTCCTAAATACTTTTTATTAAAATTTGAAATATGAAAAACTTTTTTATAAAAGTAATCTTCTTCTTCTTCTTCTTCTTCTTCCTCTTCTTTCGCCGACGCGCCGTTGATGACAATCGCAAGCCTCCTCCTCTTCCTCCTTCTCCTCTTCAGGATGACNCCTCTTCTTTCGCCGACGCGCCGTTGATGACAATCGCAAGCCTCCTCCTCCTCCTCCTCTTCATGATGACGCTCTTAATTAAAAAATAATCATTATTAAAAAATAAATTTTAATTTTTTAAATAACAATTATTATATACACCTCTTCTCATTCATTGTATAATCGTAGATACCGCACTCGTCCACGCCGCCGCTGGTGATGGTATTGAAATCGTTGTAGGATCAGCACCGATCAGCACCACGTTGCCACAATCTTCTCCGAGGACATATGGACATAACCTCGACCAAAAACGATGTTCCGACATAGGCTTGTCGTTATACTGCCACCGATGCAGTTTGATGCCGCATGCAAAACATGCTACAAAATCGTCCTGCCCCAGATAATAAAATCCTGCGGCCGCAAGCTCCTTCCGGCTGGATAAATTCAATTGGCCAAAATTCAAAGCTTCGGAGCCCATCATTACGTTTTTCTCCTCCCTTTCTGCAAAAAGGCACCATAGAAATGAAAAAATAATAGTAACTAAAAAAAGGAAAAAAATACGTTGCCTTCCATGAACCACTTCTGAAAGACGCGCACCTCGCTGAGGGCACAGTGATACTGAACCGTTGATGGCAATCGCAAGCCTCCTCCTCCTTCTCCTCCTCCTCTTCAGGATGACGCTCTTAATTTAAAAAAAATCATTATTAAAAAATAAATTTTAATTTTTTAAATAACAATTATTATACACACCTCTTCTCATCCATCGTATCAGCACCGATCGGCACGTTGCCACAATTTTCTCCCGAGGACATATGGACATAACCTCGACCAAAAACGATGTTCCGACATAGGCTTGTCGTTATACTGCCACCGATGCAGTTTGATGCCGCATGCAAAACATGCTACAAAATCGTCCTGCCCCAGATAATAAAATCCTGCGGCCGCAAGCTCCTTCCGGCTGGATAAATTCAATTGGCCAAAATTCAAAGCTTCGGAGCCCATCATTACGTTTTTCTCCTCCCTTTCTGCAAAAAGGCACCATAGAAATGAAAAAATAATAGTAACTAAAAAAAGGAAAAAAATACGTTGCCTTCCATGAACCACTTCTGAAAGACGCGCACCTCGCTGAGGGCACAGTGATACTGAACCGTTGATGGCAATCGCAAGCCTCCTCCTCCTTCTCCTCCTCCTCTTCAGGATGACGCTCTTAATTAAAAAATAATCATTATTAAAAAATAAATTTTAATTTTTTAAATAACAATTATTATATACACCTCTTCTCATTCATTGTATAATCGTAGATACCGCACTCGTCCACGCCGCCGCTGGTGATGGTATTGAAATCGTTGTAGGATCAGCACCGATCAGCACCACGTTGCCACAATCTTCTCCGAGGACATATGGACATAACCTCGACCAAAAACGATGTTCCGACATAGGCTTGTCGTTATACTGCCACCGATGCAGTTTGATGCCGCATGCAAAACATGCTACAAAATCGTCCTGCCCCAGATAATAAAATCCTGCGGCCGCAAGCTCCTTCCGGCTGGATAAATTCAATTGGCCAAAATTCAAAGCTTCGGAGCCCATCATTACGTTTTTCTCCTCCCTTTCTGCAAAAAGGCACCATAGAAATGAAAAAATAATAGTAACTAAAAAAAGGAAAAAAATACGTTGCCTTCCATGAACCACTTCTGAAAGACGCGCACCTCGCTGAGGGCACAGTGATACTGAACCGTTGATGGCAATCGCAAGCCTCCTCCTCCTTCTCCTCCTCCTCTTCAGGATGACGCTCTTAATTAAAAAATAATCATTATTAAAAAATAAATTTTAATTTTTTAAATAACAATTATTATATACACCTCTTCTCATTCATTGTATAATCGTAGATACCGCACTCGTCCACGCCGCCGCTGGTGATGGTATTGAAATCGTTGTAGGATCAGCACCGATCAGCACCACGTTGCCACAATCTTCTCCGAGGACATATGGACATAACCTCGACCAAAAACGATGTTCCGACATAGGCTTGTCGTTATACTGCCACCGATGCAGTTTGATGCCGCATGCAAAACATGCTACAAAATCGTCCTGCCCCAGATAATAAAATCCTGCGGCCGCAAGCTCCTTCCGGCTGGATAAATTCAATTGGCCAAAATTCAAAGCTTCGGAGCCCATCATTACGTTTTTCTCCTCCCTTTCTGCAAAAAGGCACCATAGAAATGAAAAAATAATAGTAACTAAAAAAAGGAAAAAAATACGTTGCCTTCCATGAACCACTTCTGAAAGACGCGCACCTCGCTGAGGGCACAGTGATACTGAACCGTTGATGGCAATCGCAAGCCTCCTCCTCCTTCTCCTCCTCCTCTTCAGGATGACGCTCTTAATTTAAAAAAAATCATTATTAAAAAATAAATTTTAATTTTTTAAATAACAATTATTATACACACCTCTTCTCATCCATCGTATCAGCACCGATCGGCACGTTGCCACAATTTTCTCCCGAGGACATATGGACATAACCTCGACCAAAAACGATGTTCCGACATAGGCTTGTCGTTATACTGCCACCGATGCAGTTTGATGCCGCATGCAAAACATGCTACAAAATCGTCCTGCCCCAGATAATAAAATCCTGCGGCCGCAAGCTCCTTCCGGCTGGATAAATTCAATTGGCCAAAATTCAAAGCTTCGGAGCCCATCATTACGTTTTTCTCCTCCCTTTCTGCAAAAAGGCACCATAGAAATGAAAAAATAATAGTAACTAAAAAAAGGAAAAAAATACGTTGCCTTCCATGAACCACTTCTGAAAGACGCGCACCTCGCTGAGGGCACAGTGATACTGAACCGTTGATGGCAATCGCAAGCCTCCTCCTCCTTCTCCTCCTCCTCTTCAGGATGACGCTCTTAATTAAAAAATAATCATTATTAAAAAATAAATTTTAATTTTTTAAATAACAATTATTATATACACCTCTTCTCATTCATTGTATAATCGTAGATACCGCACTCGTCCACGCCGCCGCTGGTGATGGTATTGAAATCGTTGTAGGATCAGCACCGATCAGCACCACGTTGCCACAATCTTCTCCGAGGACATATGGACATAACCTCGACCAAAAACGATGTTCCGACATAGGCTTGTCGTTATACTGCCACCGATGCAGTTTGATGCCGCATGCAAAACATGCTACAAAATCGTCCTGCCCCAGATAATAAAATCCTGCGGCCGCAAGCTCCTTCCGGCTGGATAAATTCAATTGGCCAAAATTCAAAGCTTCGGAGCCCATCATTACGTTTTTCTCCTCCCTTTCTGCAAAAAGGCACCATAGAAATGAAAAAATAATAGTAACTAAAAAAAGGAAAAAAATACGTTGCCTTCCATGAACCACTTCTGAAAGACGCGCACCTCGCTGAGGGCACAGTGATACTGAACCGTTGATGGCAATCGCAAGCCTCCTCCTCCTTCTCCTCCTCCTCTTCAGGATGACGCTCTTAATTTAAAAAAAATCATTATTAAAAAATAAATTTTAATTTTTTAAATAACAATTATTATACACACCTCTTCTCATCCATCGTATCAGCACCGATCGGCACGTTGCCACAATTTTCTCCCGAGGACATATGGACATAACCTCGACCAAAAACGATGTTCCGACATAGGCTTGTCGTTATACTGCCACCGATGCAGTTTGATGCCGCATGCAAAACATGCTACAAAATCGTCCTGCCCCAGATAATAAAATCCTGCGGCCGCAAGCTCCTTCCGGCTGGATAAATTCAATTGGCCAAAATTCAAAGCTTCGGAGCCCATCATTACGTTTTTCTCCTCCCTTTCTGCAAAAAGGCACCATAGAAATGAAAAAATAATAGTAACTAAAAAAAGGAAAAAAATACGTTGCCTTCCATGAACCACTTCTGAAAGACGCGCACCTCGCTGAGGGCACAGTGATACTGAACCGTTGATGGCAATCGCAAGCCTCCTCCTCCTTCTCCTCCTCCTCTTCAGGATGACGCTCTTAATTTAAAAAAAATCATTATTAAAAAATAAATTTTAATTTTTTAAATAACAATTATTATACACACCTCTTCTCATCCATCGTATCAGCACCGATCGGCACGTTGCCACAATTTTCTCCCGAGGACATATGGACATAACCTCGACCAAAAACGATGTTCCGACGGACACACAGGCTTACGTTTTCTCTCTTTCTGCAAAAAGGCATCATAGAAATAAAAAATAATTGTAAAAAGAAAAAAAAATATTACCTTCGAAGTACCACTTGCAGAAGATTCGCACCTCGCTGAGTGCGCACAGGCTTACGTTTTCTCTCTTTCTGCAAAAAAGGCACCATAGAAATGAAAAATAATTGTAAAAAAAATATTACCTTCGAGGTACCACTTGCGGAAAATTCGCACCTCGCTGAGTGCACACAGGCTTACGTTTTCTCTCTTTCTGCAAAAAAGGCACCATAGAAATGAAAAATAATTGTAAAAAAAAAATTACCTCCCAGGTACCACTTGCGGAAGATTCGCACCTCGCTGAGGGCACAGTGGTACTGCTGTACCCTCCGCTTCGATGTTGAACTAGGCGTCCAACAATGAAGCCTGCATGGCGGGTCTATTGACCCATATTTCGGGTCCGCGATTAATAATTCAAATTTAGGGCAAAGTTTCTAAATTTACATGGTGAACGCCAATTTCGCGTAATAAATTCCTTTCTACATGACCCCCTTCATACGCGATTATGGGATCCTTGTAGCCGCGAATAAAAAGTTTAATTAGTAACCAAATGTCTTTTTGCTTGTAATTTTTTTGCCTGGAAAAATTTTTGTAAGGAATCCCATGTATATAAAATTCGAGACGTACCATGCAGACTTTTTATCAGACTTTATCAACTCGCTGTATTGGACGACTAGTTCAAATTCATACAGAGATGCGAAGCCTGTGTGCACATTCACAATCGCCAATTCTTTGCATACAAATTTTTTGTTTACATTGAAACCGTCCATATCAATAATGAAATCAATTTGCGACATGATGCAATATTTTTAATAAAAGCTTTTATGTTTTTTCACTCTCACTGGGGGTTCACGTTCACTTCTTTTTTTATGACAACGATTTGATTTGCTCCGCATTATGCTTCGTCTATTTATTAACATGCACGCATGAACTTCTCTCACATCGTTATAATGCATCTCTTTCTCTCTCTCTCTCCAAAAAACGATAAAGCAGAAAAAATACATCTTTCTCCATCCATATCGTTGCAAGAGAGAGAAACTGCTGCAAAAAGACCTTACTTTAATAAATCTTAATGAGACCAAAATTCTCCGAGTAAAGCATCCGCGAGTTTCTCCGGATACAAAACCACAAACTTCTTAGACGTTGCGTACGATTGCAACAATGGCACGTTCAACGAACCAACTTCCATATCAATTCCCCAACTCAGTAGCGAATAAAATGTTCGCTGCAGAGGGAAAAACAAATATGCAAAAAACAGTAAAAGAGAGAAAAAAACATCTCTCTCTGTCCACATCGTTACTACAAAGAAAAAACCGGGGATAAGGAGACTTCCAAAAATCACTAATCATGGAAAGGATGCGGCAACAAACCGTTGCAAGGTGGAAAAATACATCTCTCTGTCCGCATCTTTTGCAAGAGAGAGAAAGAACAACCGCTGCAATGCATCGCCTCTCTCTCTCGCTCTCTACAATATTATACCACCCCTCTTCAAAACACTTCCTCAACGTGCGCGAGAAACATCGTTTGCAAGAGAGAGAACTACCACTGCATCCCCTCTCTCTCGCTCTCTACAATATTATACCGAGATAAAAAACGTTACTTTAATAAATCTTAATGAGACCAAAATCCTCGGGTAAAGCATCCGCGAGTTTCTCCGGATACAAAACCACAAACTTTTATAAATGCGTCGCGCCTAACACTTCCTCAACGCGCGAAAAAATCCGCATCGTTTGCAAGAGAAAGAACAACCGCTGCATCCCCTCTCTCGCTCTCTTCAATATTATACCGAGATAAAAAACGTTACTTTAATAAATCTAAGAAACGAGACCAAAATCCCGATATCGCTTCGCAAGATAAGCAACTTCCGGGTAAAGCATCCGAGAGCCCCTCCGGATGCAAAACCGCAAAATTCCGTATCGGTGACTTCCCCTCCCCCCACACGACGCGTGCTGCTCACGATGACGCTTCCTTCCCTTTGCTTCCCCCCATTTCAGCCTTCCCCTCGCCCATGATTGCAGAACTGTATATATTTACCTACTGAAGCAATAAACGCGACGCGAACAAAAGCGAAAACGAGGCAAATGAATTGGAAGCAAACGGTGTCGTATCAAACGGAGCAAAGCAAATGGACGCTAAATCATAATCAAACCATAAAAAATAATAAAAAATTAGCAAATCGTAATCAAAATCTAAATCAAATTCTAAATCATATTTTTCAGCTCAATTTAAAGCTAAATCATAATTTTCGGCGGAATTTAATGTTATATCATAAGTTTAAGCTGAATCTGAAGCTAAATCACATGTTTCAGATGATGCTAAAGCTATATTACAAGCTGCGGCTTAACCTACAGCTACATCATAAATTTCGGCGGTTCGGCATAGCGGTTTCATGGTCATTTAGTTACATAGCGGTGTCGTGGTCATTTCGATGCATAGCGGTGTCGTGGTCATTTCGATGCATAGTATGGCAACAGTTATCAATGCAGAATTGTACGCAAAGCAGAAACTTAACGGTTGAACGAATTCTTGTCTTTAATTAGTTACTTCGTTATTGGTTGCGGTGATGATCGTCGGGTCCAGGGAAAAAAGAAACAAGAGAGATGGAGTTATTTTTTTTATTTAAGAAAGTATTTTTTAATACATATTCCTTTTTGCAATAATTTTGTTATAATTAAGTAGTTTTTCTGACAATGATCGTCAACGGATTGTACTCCACGATGCAGTCGTGCATCATCAGACAGTATGTGGTCGTCGAAGATGGAACGTCGTTTCGACATTCGAATTCGATTCGCATGACGATCGTGGCATTTTTAAGTGTTTCGTTTTGCAATCGATGACGACGAACGGTCACCGTTGCCGTCGCCATCGTCGCCGTTGCCATCGTCGCCGTCGTCGTCGCCTTCGTCTTTGTCGTCGATTCGTCTTTGTCGTCGTCTACGTCGACGTCGTCGCCGTCTTACCCGCCGTCGTCGTCGTTGTCGGCATCTTCGTCTTTTCCGTCGTCGTCGTCGTCGTTGTAGCGCCGTCGTCGTCGTTGTCACGCCGTCGTCATCGGCGCCGTCGTCGTCATCGTCGTCTTCGTCGTCGTCTTCGTCTTCGTCGCTTTCGTCGCCGTCGTCTTCGTCGTCGTCGCTGTCGTCTTCTTCGTCGTCGTCGCCCTCGCCGTCGTCTTCGCCGTTCTTTTCGCCGTTGTCTTCGCCGTCGTCTTCGCCGTTCTCTTCGCCATCGTCTTCGCCGTTCTCTTCGCCGTCGTCGTCGCCGTCGTCGTCGCACCGTCGTCATCGCTGTTATCTTCCCCGTCGTCTTCGCCGTCGTCTTCTCCGGCGCCTTCGTCGTCCTCGTCGCCGTCTTCGCCGTCTTCTTCGCCATCGCCTTCGCCGTCGACTTCACCGTCGTTTTCGCCGTCGTCTTCGCCGTCGTCTTCGCCGTCGACTTCGCCGACGTCTACGCCGTTGTCTTCGTCGTCGTCTTGGCCGTTGTCTTCGCCGTCGTCTCCGCCGTCGACTCCGCCGTCGTCGTCGTTGTCGCCATCATCGTCTTTGTCGTCGTCTTCGTCGACGGCGTCGTCTTCGTCTTTGTCGTCGTCGTCGTCGTCGTCGTCGCTGTCCCCTTCGCCGTCGTATTCGCCGTCGTCGTCTTCGTCGCTGTCGTCACCGTCGTCTCCGCCGTCGTCTTCGCCATCGTCATCGACGTCTTCGTCTTTGTCATCGTTGTCTTCACCGTCGTCTCCGCCGTCGTCTTCGCCGTCGTCATCGCCGTCGCCGCCGGCACCGTCGCCGCCGTCGTCGTCGTTGTCATCGTCTACGTCTTTCTCGTCGTCTTCGTCGACGTCGTCGTCGTCTTCGCCGCCGTCGCCGCCACCGTCGTTGTCGTCGTCTTCGTCGAGGTCGTCGACGTCTTCGCCGTCGCCTTCGTCGTCCTCGTCGTCTTCGTCACTGTCGTCGTCGCCGTCGCCGTCGTCGTCTTCGTCTTCGTCGTTGTCTTCGGCGTCGTCGCAGTCGTCGTCTTCGTCGCCGTCGTCGTTGTCCTCTTGGTCTTTGTCGTCGTCTTCGTCGCCGTCGTCGTCGTCGCCGTCTTTGTCATCGTCTTCGTCTTCGTCGTCTTCGTCGCCGTCGTCTTCGCCGTCGCGTCCGTCTTTGTCCTTGTCTTCGTCGTCGTCTTTACTGTCGCCTTCGCAGTCGTTTTTGCCATCGTCTTCGCCGTTGTCTTCGCCGTCGTCGTTTTCGTCGTCTTCGTCATTGTCGTCGCCGTCTTCGCCGTCGTGTTCGCCGTCGTCGTCGTCGTCGTCGTCTTCGTCTTTGTCTTTGTCGTCGTCGTCGTCGTCGTCGTCTTCATCTTTGTCGTCGTCGTCTTCGCCGTCGTCGTCTTTGACACCGCCGTCGTCTTCGTCTTTGTCGTCGACTTCGTCCTTGTCGTCTTCGTCGCCGTCGTCACCTTCGTTGGCGTCGTGGCCGTCGCCGTTGTCTTCGCGGTGGTCGCCTTCGTCACCGTCGTCTTCGTCGTCGTCGCTGTTGCCGTCTACGTCTTCGTCGCCGTCGTCGTTGTTGTCTTCGTCGTCGGTGTCGCGACGTCGTCGTCGCACCATTGTCGTCGCTGTTGTCTTCCGCGTCGTCTTCGCAGTCGACTTCTCCGTCGCCTTCGCCGTCGTCTTCCCCGTCTTCTTCGCTGTCGACTTCTCCATCGCCTTCGCCGTCGTCTTCGCCGTCGTCGCTGTCGCATCGCTGTCGTCGCCGACACCGTCGCCGTCGCCGTCGTCGTTGTCGCATGAATTTGATACTAATTCATGTGTTTCGAATGAATTTGAAGTTAAATCATGTGTATCGCATGAATTTGGAGCTAGATCATGTGCTTCGCATAAATTTGATGCTATATAATGTGTTTCGCATGAATTTGAAGCTAAGTCACATGTCTCGCATGAATTTCAAGCTAATTCATGTGTTTAAAATGAAATTGAAGCTGAATCGTTTGTTTCGTATGCATTTGAAGCTAAATCATGTATTTCGCATGAATTTGCAGATAAGTCATGTGCTTCGAATGAATTCGAAGCTAAATCACTTGTTTTGCATGAATTTGACGCTAAATCATCTGTCTCGCACGAATTTGATTCTAGTTCATGTGTTTCGAATGAATTCGAAACTGAATCATTTGTTTCGCATGAAATCGAAACCACAACATGTGCCACGCTTGAATTTGAAGCTGATTCATGTGTTTCGAATGAATTTGTAGCTATATCGTTGGATTCGCAAGAATTTTAGGCTACATCATGTGTTTTGCATTAACTTGAAGCTAAATCACGTGTTTCGCATGAATTCGAAGCCAAATCATGTGCCACGCTGAATTTGAAGCTGATTCATGTGTTTCGAATGAATTTGTTGCTGTATCGTTTGTTTCGAATGAATTTGCAGGTAAATTGTTTGACTCGTATGCATTAGAAAATTAGTCACGTATTTCGCATGAATTCGAAGCTAAATCATGTGTTTCGTATGAATTCGAAGCTGAATCATATGTCTCGCATGAATTTGAAGCTAAATCATATGTCTCGCATGTATTCGAAGCTAATTCACGTGTTTCATATGAATTTGAAGCTAAGCCATGTATTTCGAATGAACTCGAAGCTAAATCATGTGTTTTGCATGAATTTTAATCTAAATCGTTTGTTTCGCATGAATTTGAAGCTAAATCACGTGCTTCGCATGTATTTGAAGCTAAATCATGATTCTCGCATGAATTTGAAGCTATATCATGTGTTTCGAATGAAATTTAATCTAAATCATTAGTTTCTCATGTATTTGACGCTAAATCATCTCCCTCGTATGAATTTGATTCTAATTCATGTGTTTTGAATGAATTCGAAGCTGAATCATGTGTCACGCATGAATTTTAAGCTAAATCACGTAATTCGCAAGTATTTTAATCTCAATCGTTTGTTTCGCATGAAGTCAAAGTTGAATCATGTGTTTCGCATGAATTTGATGCTGATTCATGTGTTTCGAATGAATTTGTCGCTATATTGTTATTTTTGCTTGAATTGCAGATAAATTGTTTGTTTCGCATGAATTTGAAGCTAACTCAAATACTTCGCATGTATTTGAAGCTAAATCATGTGTCTCGCATGAATTCGAAGCTAAATCATGTGTTTCGCATGAATTTTAATCTAAATCGTTTGTTTCGCATGAATTTGACGCTAAATCATCTGCCTCGCATGAATTTGATTCTAATTCATGCGTTTCGAATGAATTCGAAGCCGTATCAAGTGTTACGCCTGAATTTGAAGCGAAATCATGTGTTTCGCATGAATTCGTAGCTAAATCATGTGTTTCGCATGCATTCAAAGCCAAATCATGTGTTTCGCTTGAATTCGAAGCCAAATCATGTGCCACGCTTGAATTTGATGCTGATTCATGTGTTTCGAATGAATTTATCCCTATATTGCTGGTTCCGCTTGAATTTACAGCTAAATTGTTTGTTTCGTTTGCATTTGAAGATAAGTCATGTGTTTCAAATAAATTAGAAGCTGAGTTATGTGTTTTGAATGAATTCGAAGCTAAATCACGTGATTCGCATGAATTCGAAACTGAATCATGTGTTTCGCATGAATTAAAAGCTAAATCATGTATTTAGAATGAATTCGAAGCTAAATTATGTGTTTCGCATGAATTAGAAGCTGAATCATGTGTTTCGAATGAATTCGAAGCACAATCATGTGATTCGCATGAATTCGGAGCTAAATCATGTGTCTCGCATGCAATTGAAGCTAAATCATGTGTCTCGCATGAGTTCGAAGCTATATCATGTGTTTCACATCAATTCGAAGCTAAAGCATGTGTTTCGCAAGAAGTTGAAGCTAATTCAAGTGTTTCGAATGAATTCGAAGCTAAATCATTTGTTTTGTATGAATTCGAAGCTGATTCATGAGTTTCGCATGTATTTAAAGCTAAATCATGTGTATTGCATGAATCCGAAGCTAAATCACGTGTTTCGCATGAATTCGAAGCTAAATCATGTGATCCGCATGAAATGGAAGCTAAATCATGTGATTCGAATGAATTCGAAGCTGAATCATGTGTTTCGCATGATTTCGAAGCTAAAGAATGTGTTTCGCTTGAATTCGAAGCCAAATCATGTGTCACGCTTGAATTTGAAGCTTATTCATGTGTTTCAAATGAATTTGTAGCTATATCGTTGGTTTAGCATGAATTTGAAGCTAAATCCTGTGTTTTGCAATCTTTTGAAGTTAAATCTCGGTTTTTGCATGAATTCGTATATAAATCATGTGTTTCGAATGGATTCGAAGCTGAATTATGTGTTTTGCATGAATTCGTATATAAATCATGTGTTTCGAATGTATTCGAAGCTGAATCATGTGTTTCGCATGAATTTGAAGCTAAATCACGTGATTCGCATGCAATTGAAGCTAAATCATGTGTCTCGCTTGAGTTCGAAGCTATATCATGTGTTTCACATGAATTCGAAGCTAAAGCATGTGTTTCGCAAGAAGTTGAAGCTAATTCAAGTGTTTCGAATGAATTCGAAGCTAAATCATTTGTTTTGTATGAATTCGAAGCTGATTCATGAGTTTCGCATGAATTTGAAGCTAAATCATGTGTCTCGCAAGAAATTGAAGCTAATTCAAGGGTTTCGAATGAATGCGAGCCTAAATCATGTGTTTCGAATGAATTTGAATCTAAATCATGTGTATCGCAAGTATTTGAAGCTAATTCATGTGTTCCGATTGAATTTGAAACTAAATCATGTGTCTCGTAAGAATTCGAAGCTAATTCATGTGTGTCGAATGAATTCGATGCTGAATCATGTGTTTCGCATGAATTTGAAG